CTTTGGGCTGGTGGCCAGCGCCAGGGGCAACGTGGCCTTCGTGGCGCTGCGCGGCGAGCGGGGCCGCTGTGCGGCCGTGCCGGCCTGCGAGCACGTCTTCGTGTGGGACACGCGGAAAGGAGAGAAGGTGAGAGCGGGGCCGTCCCTGGGGCTGCGATGGTGGTGATGAGGAGTGGGAGGGGGCGGGGGGAGCGTAGTGCGCAGCGCTTTTGGGCCATCATGTGTTTTAAGGGAAGCGTCACCTCCACAGCTTCGCTCCTTTTCGGTAGGTTGAGCACACCGCTTGAGGTTTGCTTGTGGTGTGAGTTTGCAGCTCTGGGTGCAGCCTGGCTGAATGTCGCTGTTGATCCTTTGAGATTTGCCTTTGGTACATCAGCTGGGGAAGAGAAATTACTGCCACGGTGACTGGAAAGCTGTTCCCGCTTTAGCTGTCGACCAGCAACAGCGCTGTGTAAAAGTTCTGGGGCGAAACAGGGGTGTCATGGAGTTTGTGTTTTGGCTGTGGAACGGGGCTTCCCATGTGAAAGTTGTATCCTACTGGGGGCTTGTGACCTGTAACCTTAAGGGCTTTCCCACATATTTCCTCCTGTCAGATTCTGAAGTCATTGCAAGTACTCCTGTCCACTACAAACTGAATTCAGGATTTCCTTTAGCAACCACTAGAGTGGTGACTGCTGGCATGCTGTTCTGGATATGTTTTTATTACTCTCCAGTTCTTGTGCAGTCTGTGGAAAAACAGCTGTGTCCTATACATGAGAAAGACCAAGCAAGACAGGATAAGTCAGGAAGAAGCTTTCAGCCTTTATGCTTGAACAATGTTCCTTGCTCTCTGGCATTTAAAATGCAGGGGCTTCTGAGTTCCAGGCCTCATTCTACACCAGTTCCCTGTTTGATTGTGAGAAATTACTTTCTTTCTAGTTGCTGTCTGCCTTGTAAAATGGAGCTAATGACACTGTATTTGGTGCATGGAGCTGAAAAATGAACCTCTAAAGTGGCAGAAGCACTCAGTTGGAAGTTCAGTAGAAGAGCAGAGTATATTCTTTCTGCTGTACAAGTATCTGGCTCTGACATGTCATTTATCAACATTATATGTGTTTTGTCTCCTAAAAATTGCAGGTTCTTATCCTTAAGGGTCTCAAGCAGCAGGTCAGTTGCCTCTGCCCTTCTCCAGATGGGTTGCACTTGGCTGTTGGGTATGAAGATGGATCAATCCGTGTCTTCAGCCTCCTAAGTGGAGAAGCAAATATCACTTTCAATGGACACAAGGCTGCAGTTACAGCCCTGCAGTATGACCATCTGGGTGGCCGGCTAGTATCTGGCTCAAAGGTGAGAATTGCATGTCTGGAAGCCAGCCCTTTCATAGAGATGTTCCATGGAGGAGACTGAAAGCTGACCTGCAGTAAAATGTTTGGTATTTTAAGTGGGTTATGTGGCCTCTGCCTATGGCCAGAGGATGGCAGGGAGAGGACTTAGGGCTGCAAGACAATGATGGAGTTGTGGAGCCCAGGGTGGGGAGAGCAGCAGGGGCTGCAGGGCAGGAGCACGGTACTAGTAGAGCTGGTAAAGATCAAGGAGCTTGTGAGGTCAAGAATAACAAAAGTGACTCAAGCTGGGGCAGAGGTGCATTTATTGGTTTGAATGCACCTTTGGGGAAGGAATGTCACTGGCAGTAATCATCCCTGACATTCAAATTCAAAGTGAGAAAGTGTGCTCGCAGGTAATCTTTTCAATCTCGTGGCAGAGGTAGACATTTTGCAGAGACAAATGCCAGTGTCTTGGAGACATCTGTCTGTTCCAGGACACAGATGTCATTGTGTGGGATGTCATCAATGAGAGCGGGCTGTACCGGCTGAAAGGACACAAGGATGCTGTCACTCAAGTCCTTTTCTTGAAGGAGAAGAACCTGTTGGTCACCAGGTGAGCCAGGCTAAGCATAGTGGTCGATCAGGAAAGCAGCCATGGTTTTACTTGCAATTTAGACATTCTAGGTGCTATAGCCAGTTATATTTTCCTTCTCGACTCGTGATATCTCAGACCCACCAGCATCTTAGAATATGATTTTGTCACATCCACATATTTTTTTAAGTCCGGTGCCTGAATCCAGATGTGGTAAGTGGAACTGAAATGGCTATCCTGAAAAACAGAGTTTGGAAGAGGATTTAATTTGCTGGTAAATATAGCGATTTAGAATTATTGTAACAAGGAATAGTGATATGTTCATTATGTATGTAACCATTTTGCTGTTTATCTTGAAGAATTAAGCAGACTTGCCTTCTGTATGTGTTATTCACACAGCAGTGTGACAGAAAAATTGCTTCCTAGTAAGCTGTATTTGTAGGAATGAATTAAAAGATGATAGATTTCTTTTTAGTTGGTTTTCAGTTATTCAACATGAGCTGCTAGTTGACTGTATCCCTTTAATAGTAAGTGGTGGAGAGAAGATACTCTTGCTCAAATATCGGTCAATCATTTTTTGTTTGTTAATATGTCATCTAATAGCTTAATAGAAAAGTGCATGCAATCAGTTTGTAAAATTAGAACAAGTTTCTTGTGCTTTTTTTGCTGTTTCAAGTGGAAAAAGTAGTATTTTGTTGGTTTGGCAGATGATGCCTGTTTCTCAATGCAATTTCAAGTCTTTGCATGTCAGCTTTAGACATGCTTCTAAATTCTCTCAGTAGCTAAACTGAGATTGTATATCTCCTGACATAAGAGAAGATGTTATCCTGTTCTCTGGAGAGGCAAAGTTTTGCTTCCTTAGACTGGTTTGGTTTTTTTTCCCCAAGCAGCTAATTGCAGTCCTTTATGTACAGAATTTTTGTGATATTTTCATATGTCTAATTTACAAGTACCATTGGATCCTATGTAACAAGAGATGAATTAACTAATAAATATCACTTGTAATCAGAACTTTTTTGTTCTGAGCAAGCTTAGTAATGGAACAAGTTTTATATTTTGATTTAGTTGAAACTTACTGAAAAAAATAGGCGCTAACAAAGTTACCAAAAATAAAAAAAAGTGTTAAGTGTTGGTAGGGTGTACTGAAAAAAATCTGTTCAAGTTTCAAAAAACTTCAAATTACTTTTCTCAGGTGCTCATGTAGTATTGGGGTAGCATAATGTAGCCAGAAATATGTTTTCAAGGAGATCTAATCCCATGAGAGCTTGGAAGGATTTAAACAGCTGTAATTCTTTGTGAAGAGGAGCAGCTCCAAATCACTGTTCAAAATTAAGGAATCTGCTTTTCTTGTAGCCTGGTCAATGCACAGGCATGGCACAAGCTGAGAATGTGGAGGGGCCTTTTAGAGTCAGCTTTACAATTAATGAGCACTCTACACTTATTGTTCTCAGCCTAAATAATGAGAAAGGAGGCTTCATGATGCTGGAGCTTGCAGCTGAAGGAGGAAGCAGTTTTCAATGACTTGCTAGATACTTTTTTGCAGTACCTTTGTATTGCTATACTTTGTTCTTGCATAGCTTGCAAAATTCAATGTCTGAGCAGCTGCTCTGTGATACGTTGTGGCATGTTTTAGATTTTTTGTATTTCTACCACTTTTCTAAGCAGGTGAGCTCTGGCAATCTTTCCTCATGTGTTTAGTTTTTCTTTGTTCCAGTGGCAAAGACACGCTGGTGAAATGGTGGGATCTGGACACCCAGCACTGCTTCAAAACTCTGGTTGGACACCGTACTGAGGTAAAGAGGATGTGTGGGGAGCTGTTGGGGTGGAGAGACTTTGGACTACATGTCATGGCTCATTTCGCACTTTCCCTGCTCTCAGGAGTTGTAAACTGGCACCGTGATACATTTTGCTTGTCATTAAGCTTTAGAGAGAAAATGAGAAACTTCCAAACTTTCCAGGACCTGTCATCAACATGCAGTGGGTGACAATTCCAATACGGATATCCCCAGAGGAGGATCCAGTATCTTCTTGGTTGCTGCTTAAATAAATCAATTAAAGATGCTCTTACTGTTTTTATGATAGTTAAAGGAGCCATAAGCCAATTCCTCACACTGTGCCTCTGGACAGGTGTGGGGGATGGCTTTGATATCCGAAGAGAAGCGTCTGATCACTGGGAGTGCTGACAGTGAGCTGAGGGTGTGGGATATCGCTTATATCCAGGAGGTAAGATATTCCCTCTGTTACCCCTCACAGTCTTGCCTAGCAGCTTGTCTTTGGACTAAGATGGTACTGGAACAGGTTGCTCAGAGAGGTGGTAGATGCCCCATCCCTGGAAACATTCAAGGTCAGGATCAGGGTGCTCAGAGCGCTGTCCAACTAGTTGAAGATGCCCCTGCTCATTGCAGGGGGGCTTGGACTAGATGACCTTAAAGGTCCCTTCCAACCCCAATTATTCTATGATTCTATGGTTCTATGAAATCTGATTGACCTTTTGGGAAACAGCCAAAGTAATGTCTTTGGTGTCTGAGGGGTCCAGAAGCTGCTCTTGGGATAGACTTTGCTGTTTTCTGTGTTTTGAGCTTTCAAGTGAAGCTGTGAGCACTTCCAGAACAAGATTTCCAGTGTGTGCCAGATCTTCCTGCCTTCTGGCCTACAGCTAGAGAAGAGAGTCTTGTGGGTAGATGGTAAGCAGAGGAGGACATGGAGTGTTTGGTGCCTGCAGGCATGCTATAGGCCACTCCTTTGTTGCAGTGTATGCTCACCATTTGTTCCTCCAGGGGAATGAAGTGTAAGAGGCAGAAACCAGAACGCTGTAGCTCTTGTGGTTTAAGGTACTCCTTATGTTTTGGGTTTTTTGTTTTTTTGTCTGTGAACAGGTAAAAGACCCTGATGAGCCAGAATCCAAGAAAAGCAAAGGTTCTTCACCTGGAGCAGAAGAAAACACTGAAGAGGATGAGACCCTAGAATTGGATGAGCGTCCTGAGGAAGTAAGCTCAGTTTTCCATGCTGTCTGTGGGATTGTGTATCTAACCCCATTTACATGGTGCTGCTTGCAGAGCCAGCAGTTTTAGTCATTCACTCATTGCTCCTCTGTGTTGGATTTATAAACCGAGTGTCATATTTAGCCTTTTAGGGAAAATGTGGTAATTCTTGTCTTGCTTCATAACATCTTCCTCAGCAGCAGTTGCTGCCTCATCTACCTGCAGAACATCAGAGGAGTATGTGTGTCAAAACACATATGTGTTATTCTCCACTGAAAACTGTTTCTTTGCCTTCTATTTGGGGAGGACTCACAAATGTTTTAAGTTTGGCAGTGCTAACAGAGCTCTTTCATCAAACAACACAGGAATAAAATAGTTACTAGTTGGCTGGCAGCTGCTGAGTTCAGTGCTGATGCTTAGCTTTGCAGGTCAGTAGCAGAAACTGAGAGGTCAGAGTTGCACCATAACAAAATATGGTGTGAGATTCAATTACAGAAAGCCATTCCCACTTGTGCTGCTGGTAGAGACTTTACTGAATCTGTCTTTCTGCTAGAACTTTCTGGGGTCCTCAGATTTCAGACTACTTGTAGTTATGGTAGATACCTGGCTTCGTTAAATACTTTTCCAACTTCCTCTCCAGAGGATTTCTCTGTCTTCAGCTGCCTATTTAAGAGTCTCTGTTCCTGCCTTCTCTGCCTCTTCTGACAGAAGAACTGAGCTCTGCTGCCTTTGTAGCATAAAACTTCAGCCCCATCTATTAAATGGTTATGGCTTGACAATAAAGTTGTTATTCTTCCACTGAGACTGTCGATGATTATTTTCAGCTAATATGCAACAAAACATAATGACATAAGCCTGTAGCTCTCACAAATGCTTGCTTTGTCCCCAGATTATCCTTGCTAGCTGTCCTACCAGGAGCCTGTAGGTTCATTGTCCCCTCTTCTCGACTTCCCTTGCCAGTAGGTTTCTGAGCTTGCTTGAGAAGATCACTTGACCTTTCAGAACAAAGTTCTTCTCTTTCTTTCC